AGAACATGGAAACTCTTACTTGGAGTGACATAAATGCAGGATAAGATGTTTGAGAAGCAGATCAAATTTAAACTGTGATTTTAATTATTCACTTACACTTTAGAGTAATGAACAGAATTAGGACTTTTATATGCGTTTCTTAGGAGCATATGCACCACTGCATCTGTTTCCTCTCCTTGTATTAGTCTTTAGTGCTGCTATATTTATTTCTGAGGTTTAAATGATTTTTTAATGTAGGCGTGAAACACTATTCAGTGCATCAAGAACTCTTTAGAAAAGTCTGATGAAATATGACAAATTTTGTGGATCAGCAGTCTACAATTGAATTTCTGATTCAGGAATGGAGTCAAGCCAAACTATCTAAATGTGTACAATCTTTCCCTCTCATCATCTTCTCCCATTAGCATGGCGGTTGGCCTTTGGGCTGATTGTGAATGCTATTATGTTTGTTACTAAACATAAAAATGAAAAATAATGGATATCTAAACAACAATTATCATGATTATTTACTTTTACAATTTTGTTTTTCACTCTATAGTGCATTTGGTGTGGGAAAATATGCTGTGGGAGCATATGCAAGGGGACAAAGAACTGTATACAAAGTGTTTAGAAAAGCAAATTGCCTATAAACATAGCAGGAGAGTAGCTGTTAGTTATCTTGAGAGCTACTTTTCCAGTGCTAATTTCCCATTTTATCTTACTTTCCTCCTGACTGCCTTAACCAGCTTTCCCCATGTGTGTCGCCACTTACTCTATGTTCACAGTACCAGGTCTTTATTATATATGCTGCCCTGTTAAACATGAGTGAACTGCTCACAAGTCATGTCAGAGAGCACTAAACCTGTCATGGCAAAAGTGAGGTCGGAGTGGAGTGCAGAAAGAAACCAAGAAGGACAAATGTGAAATAGAGAAGAAAGAAATGTGGGACGTAACAGAGTCAATGGAAATGAAGAATAAAGGCATGAAAGACTAAGGGGAATAAAGCTGAGAAAACAGTGTGAGCAAAGAAAGTGTTAGAGGCAGTGTGTACCTACGTTTGCTTTTTTGCATGAACATACTGAACTCTGTCTGTTGACTTTCAACTTCTACATGGTTATACTCAAAGATTATTAAATAATTTTAATAAGGACTAGAGGTAAGTCAGTAGTAGGCCACTTGCTTAGAATATACACGTAGAAAAGCCCTGTTTTTGAGCTCAAGCCCTGCAAGAAAAAAATAAAAGGATGGAAAAAAAGCCAAAGCTGTTAAGTATCGATGGTTAAAAGTTTGGGTAATTCTAACTTAGGAACATGGGGTGTTCATACTACGTGATCATGTCTGTTACTTTGCTAAATTCTGCTTTCTTTACTGAACTTTTCAAATCTTTCAAACAACTGTTCTTATAATTAGTATGGTACTATTTTAGGACAGAAACCTCAATTCCACAACCTAATAATGTTATTTTCTATCTTGGTTTCAAAAATATCCTGAATACATCAAAGAATTTCTCAAGCATTTGGCCAGAAGTCATTTTAACTCTTTGTGGTTTCACAATCACTTCATTAGGTTCAAATAGTTAATAATGATTATTCACTTACAGTTCACAAAATATCTTACCTCTTTTGAAAAGACTTATAAAAATCTACATATATATTAACTCAGACATAAGAAAGCCATTATTGATTTTGTCATCATGTAAGTTATTTTGTTATAGCCTGCGTTATGACTGAATTACCCTTATACTAAGAGATATGATATATTATTATGAGACAAGAAAATACATGCATCACATGATATCTGTAGAACCTTTTACAAGTAGACATGTAGAGGAAGTTACTCTTCTCATTTCAAAACTATTTTCATCTCAAAAACTATTTAGAAACATCCAATATTTCAGTGAGTTTGATATTAATTATCAGATGTCTTGGGGTTTGGGAAAAAATCTACCAATTCAATATTATTGCTCAAAGACAAATTTTGTCTAAGCTAAACAGTGGTATCATCCTTTAGGAATTAAATAAAGAAAGCTTGGTGACATACTGCATGCATATAAGTTCTACATTACCATTAACTGCTCTAAGTGCTGAAACTTTAAGAAGACAAGTCAAGAGGAGAGTGCACATGACACTCAGTATAACAGGATAGCTGAAAGTTTCTTAAGTGTTAAGGAAAGGTTGTCTGCCTGTTACATCGTGATGGCTGAAGGCAATAGCATGATGTCTGGCACCTGACCTGCTTCTCTCACTTTGTGAACCTAAAATAAACAACAGACAACATAACATCTTCCTTTGCTAGTTATTTAGGCTGCATAATGAATGAGAGTTTACCTTTCTTGTCTAACCACAACACCATGAATGTGTTTGGTATCTGTATTTTATTGGACATTTTCTAGGCTGGTTGCTTGAATAAAACCTTGAAATTCTTTGTTTTGGCACACAACCTTTAACAGTATTTCTGATCTCTCTGCCATTCTAAGCCAGTCATTGGACAAAGCATTTAATGATTCCTTTACTTCCTAGGGTGTATTGTGTTTTATGGGTCTTATGATATATATATATATATATATATATGTATATGTATACATATATATATATATATATATAATTTCATTCATCCACTTTGATGAAGAAGAAACCTTGGTTACTTTGCAGGTTTGCTTTAGTCTGATAATATATTTACTTCTGAAATATTCCAGTTTTTACAGGCTAGACTTAAAACATAATATATTATCAATAAATTTCAGCCCAGAAAAAAAATTAGCCTTCTGGGTGCATAGTTCCTCAGGCTTGGCTGACAGCCAAAGCTGATATTCTAGCTTCACTTTATAAGTTTCCCCAGCTGCTTTCCAAAACTGGAGAGGCAGCATCAGCCAGAGACTTCTAGTTTGAGCACAGTATGCTAAACACTTCTCTGTTCTCCCTGAGTAGTTGCTACTAAATGAAATAGAGTATGATGGGATTTTATTCTCACAGGCTACTTTCCTACTCATAAAAAAGGTAGGAAAAGATCACAGATATGTTTCTTGGCGACAATTCTTGTATGGATTAGAAACATTTATTTAGTATTTAAAAAAACCATGGTTCTAGTGTTGAGATTAATTAAGGATTTGAGGTATTCTTTAATATGACCATGGAAAACCTCCTTGGATGAGGAAAGAGTAGGTATCAGATATAACAGTTTTCATGCCAGACAAAATATGAGACTTGTTTTCTCTGGTGAATGCATATATGACTATTGCATATGAACATGTGTTCTATTTTTAATTTCAGTTATTTAAAGGCAAAATTATGATGTCTATATTTATATTCAGATTGACTTCTCATTGATTTGTTAAAAATAAAATATAATCAAATAATCGTTTTATTTATAACATTTCTTTTACTTAAAACTTATGCCTGAATTTTACATGTATTTTCCCATTAAGAGTGACTTTCAGGTTATAGTTGGAAAGCCATACACATTGCAGTTTTCTCACAAGGTTTCTCCCAAATCTTCCCCTGACCATGTGCGTGTTATAGAAGCCTTAGCATTCTAAGGTTGCCAGAGGATTTGCTAATGAAAATGGCATCAATCATTGTGAGTTCAAATGTCTATTTCTGGTCTGAGACAAACATAAATGACAAGGTTATTTTTGTTATTCAACACTTAGGTTTTAGGAGTGTTGGTTAGAGGCTTAGATCCTTCTGGCCAGTGGTTTGGTATTCTTGATTTATACTTGCTTTATGAAAACAAATAATACAAAGTATGCATTACTACCTATGTTTCTGGATATATTTAATTGGCACTATTCTGGAAAAAAGATTAAAATATTTATTTTGATCTTAAACAAAATCCATTATAACCATTTAGAGGAAAATTGTTGCTTCCTGGTTTGGGAGAAATTCAAGTAATTCTAGTAACTTCTGTCTTCACCAGTTTCCTCTTATAACAAGAGACACGGGACTTTAACTATTAAGTTGACAAAAAAGCATACAACGTAAGCCTGATTTATAGAAATACATCATTATCTTGGTAGATAATTTACAGTAAAACTATTATGATGTCAAGTTAATAAATAGATTCTGATAAAATACACTATGAAGGCACACAGAGGAGAGTTTGAAAGACAGATTATGAACCAATGAAACTTTCTCAGAGTTAATTAATATTCAGAACAAAATTAACAAAATAAACAGCACATCACTTCTAGATACTGTTACAGAAACTAAAAACTATCATTTTATAATTAGAACAAGTTAAAACGAAGTAAGTGTCTAATATTTTAAACTTCAGTTTCTTCTGACATACACACTGGAAACACTAACTAAAATCAACTTTAAGCATCTCCTGTTTTTCAACTTGTGTTGTGTAAGGGATTTTGGAGCATGTGTGAGTATGGCATTCAGCTGTTTATTACTGTCCTTTACACAATCTAGGATATGAATATGACACATCTTACCCTAAGATGTTTTCACTTCTAATAGGAGTTAGGGGGACGACATCTATTTCATTATAAACAATGTAATGTCTGTGTCATACAGTTTCAAGTGTGTGTGCCAGCTGTTTCTCTCAAGAATGCAATCAAGACAGAGAACACATAGTAAATCTCAGGTCTCAAGAAGAGTTTTCATCTTGGGCAATTAGTAATACTTCCTAGGCAACATATAATACAGTCGCCACAGTGTTACCACGACGGTTGAGTTTGCAAAATTAGTGATCTCAGTAGAAACAGGACTAACCTGTTACCAAGGGAGATGTTTTGGGTATAAATGTCAGGTAAGCATTTAGAAAAAAAATGCTGTTGCAATTCCTCTTTTACAACAGGACAGTATGTCCTATTTAAGGGCAAATATAACTTCTACAAAGCATACTGATAGGTATGTACACACATTCCAGAAAGGAAGATTGAATTTGGCTCTAAAAGTATCAGCTTCTGTATAAATTTTTCACAAATAAAACTTTAGTGCGTTTAACTTGTTTATGAAGCTATGCTACACATAACCAGTCATTGTCAATTCCAACAAATTAGGGCAATAACTTACCTAGAGAAGCATCTCAATATTAGTTTTCTTTTGCTAACTTGAATTTATCCGGAGTTAGAAAATGAGATATCCAGAATGCAGGTTTACTTGGCTCCAGGTTAATTAGCGGAGCTTTCAGTTCGTGCCATCTGCCTCAACAGGATTCCCGGAGCACTCCTCAGCTCCAGTGCTGGTGTCTGAACTCTTCCAGCAGTCTTTTTATTTATACACACATTGTCCTTTTCAAAACAAGCAGCCAGCTGGAATGATTCAGACCTCTGTTCAGCACACCGTTAAAATGCAGCTTCCTTCTCGGACACAAGCATTACACCAGGGAGCAGACTGGGTACAGCAAAAAGGCTATGAGAACTATTTAATCACCGGAATACCAGCTGCTACTGTCTGCTTCTGCGACTGCTGCTGCGCCTTTTGCTTAGCTGGAGTCGGTCTTTCCCTCCCTCCCTCTTTCTCTCATATCTCCGAACTATGAAGGCAGCTCTGCCGGGTTATGATTGGTAGAAATAGCCAATTCCTTCAGCTAATCATCCTCAAGACTTTCAAGGACCTGAAGCTGTTGTGATGTCATCCAGTCAGTGGCATGGTACACATGAACACATTCCAGCAGAAGCTAATTCCGCTACTGGCTGCCTTTCTCTCACACAACATTGATTGATTGGATGCTCCTTGAGGATTTGTATAATCTTTCATTGTACAGCTGGAATATTTCCTGCAAAATATGATCATTACATTCCACTTTGCAGCTATGACACTATAAACTGTTGTAACTGGTTAATAAAAGTTCTTGATGGGGCTCTCTGATGTGAATATTTGCCAGCCAAAGACTCAATTCAAACAGAGCAAAATCCAGCAATGAGAAAACTTGGAGAAATATCTGTGAGCTACCAAATCATGAAAGTTATAATATGTTTTATAAATAAGAACATATATATATATATATATATATATATAATTATGTACTGGTAATTAACTGAGATAAAATCTGAATTACAATGGGAAACTACATTTCTAGTGCTCAAACTTTAAAATTATCTCCATAAGTAAGATAATGGGGTCTTTTACTCACCACTAACTCTTGAAGACATATAAAGTACTTTTATGTACTTTGTGTAATGTCCTTTTACTTTTTACAACTGGACGCACATACAGAGGTAAAGTCTTAGCAGGATGGTCTTGTCTAAACTCCATGTTTCTTGTTTAGTCAGTATCTTCTTTCTTCCTAACTATTTAAAAAGAAGAGCACACATACTCACAAATAAACATTTGCTTCAAGACAGAATAGAGCTACAGACTCTTCTCCATGTCATAGTTCTCTGGTGTGTGTGTGTCTTAAGTTATAAGCAGTGCATACAGTGCTGGGGCAATTACAGTAACAACTTATGACTACAGGTTGGGAGGTGAATGGTAGTGGAGAAGCCATTAAAGTTAGCATTTATGATAAGATCTGCATCCTATATAATTAATGTTAGTGTGTGCAAGCATGTGTCTGCTAGTTGCAGATACTCACATATGCAGAAAGTTGAGAAAAACACACCTATCAACATTGTAAAGAGTATTAATGGTTATTTATAAACAGCAAATATTATCTAAGAAATTATGAATCATGTGTCCATTATTTTCTGGTACATACAAAATATTTATTATAGGGTTTTAAGACCATCGAAATGGGTTCAAGAATGTCTTCTTTCATGCCATCAACATTTGGGTGGCAAAGGTGCATTTGAAGGTTGAGACAGAATTTTCATAGTGATACTCATTAAAATTGAGATGGAAGCAGAGGCAAACACCCATAGTTAAATACTGAACAGAACCCAAGGAACCCAACAACAGAGAGAGAGGAGTGGTGAGCAAATTGGCAAAGAATGTGCTGGCAAAACCAGCAGAGACAGCTGATCTGAACAGGGGAGATCTCTTGGACCCCAGACCGACAGCTGGGAGGCCAGCATGGGACTGATCTGGAACCCCTGAATGTGAGTGTCAGTGAGAAGGCCTGGGCAACCTATGGGGCCCTGAGCAGTGGATCAGTGTCTATCCCTGGAATACAAACAGTCATCGTGTGCCCATAGCACAAAGAGGGATGCTCTCTCAGCTTGGACTCTTAGGGGAGTGCCTGGACCCTACCCTGAGGGAAATGACAGACTCTAGATATCCCCTATGTGGAAGGAATTGGCAATAGTGTGGGAGGCTGGGGGGGATGGGGAGTGAGGGAGGAGGAGAGGGAGAGGGAACTGGGATTGACATGTAAAACAAGCTATTTAAAATTAAAATAAAAAGTGATAATAAAAAAGAATATTGCCAATAAATCTTTTACAAATATTATAATAAGATATTACTAAGAGTAAAACAATTTGCCATGACTCAGTGTAGATAAAGATAAATTCTAAAATCTGATTGAATTTTTCCATCTTAAGTAGTTTTGTTTGTTTATGGTGCTGGGGATTGAACTCAGAGCCTTCCAATTGCTAGTAAAGTGACTGTATGCCCTCCCAGCCATAGTTTTTCTTTTTCTCTTCTTTAATGTAATCACATTTATTTAGTATTTTAAGTCCTTGGGAAATTGCTTAAGGGAAAAGGAACATTTTTGAAAAAACTGGAGGTCATTTCACTATTGCTATATTTATATTTCAGAAGCCAGTAAAGAAGTGATATCATATGAATGGTTGAACTTTTTTGGAATTAAATGACAGTTCAGTTATACTCACTACAAAACTGTGCCATAAAAAACAAGAAATGGGATTCAGAGTCTTAGTAAGGTGATGAAGGTGAATAGTGGAGAAAAATTACAAAGGAAAGAAGTTGATCTATGCAATACTTTATCTGAAGATGCATAACAATTATTCAAGAGAAATTGTAAATACCATTTGAATACTTTGACAATAGAAGTGTTATAGTGCTAAAGTCAGTTCTGAGACATAAAATAGTGTTTATTCAATATAAATTATTAGCAAAATATCAAAAGATAGGAAATTAAAATTCTACAGTAGGAAAAAATACATACAACTTAACTGACATTTTGTCTTTATTAAAAATTAAAGTAAATATTCAGGACAAAGTATAGCAAAATGTGCATAAATGAATTTAAAACCACCCAAAATATATTTATTCGCCTAGAGAAAACTCTAGAGATTCAAACATCCAGATTAATGATGAATATAAATGACATTTATTTGTAATTTGTAAATGACATTTTTCATATAAAATGTCTTTGCATGTTGTATTCTCCTATGATTATATGAAAATATTACCTATTGTATTTTTTAACTTGTCTTATTTAAGAAATAAAGACGATGACATTGAGTTTTGTGATGGGAACATGTATTACCAGATAGAATACAGAGAATTATTGTTTAAGATTTTGTTTGTTTACATGTTTGTTTGTTTAGATCACTTAACCTGAGTTACACAATTCTTCTGGCTTGTACTTGAGTCAGATATAACATTTATTCCGTTTATTTGTAAGCACTTAGCTTACTGCTGTAGTTGAATAACAGAAAATAGATACTCTTCATTTTGTTTTGTCACCATGATTAAGACAATCTGATTTTCTTTTATGTACTAAATATGAATTTAAACTAAGATATCGGTGGATCTTTATCAACTTGAATTCAACATATTGTGCCAGTCAGGGTTGTAACTCTAAACAATATGCTTTTCTAGTTGTCTTAGCAAGATGTAAAGTTTTTGACCAGCTCAAAATCACTTTGTTCAACTCAATTTACTTTAAGCATAAGATTTCAATATCTGGTAGCACTTCAACAAAACAGTGAAAAAGTGTATACATCTCAAGCATCAGTTAATATTTAAAAACTTGAAAAAGGGTATATTGTTAGTATATATTTAAAATGAAGAAATGCAAGTAATAAAAGTTAAATGTACATTACTCAAAATACATATTTTATACTACGTTTATATTTGTATCTTTAGTGTTTTGGGATTTTGCTGTTGTTGCTGTTTTTCTGGTGACAGGTTCTCACTCTATGACCCTGGCTGTTCTAGAAGTTGCTTGTTAGACCAGGCTGACCTAATACTACCTTTTGAATGCTGGAATTAAAGGTTTATGCTACAACTGGCTCAAAGCTTTTATTCCAGAGGAAGGTTTATTTGCTTTCTGTCAAGTTAATTTATTGGGAATGTGAAATTGAGAGGTATATAACACATTTTAGAAAACGTTATTATAAATGTAGAAAATGAAATAATTTCAAGATTTTACAGCACACCTCATTTATTATTATTAAAAATGTTTAAATGCAGTCCTTTAAAATAAATCAAATTGGATTGTACAAGTAATAAATGGATGCTTATCTCTTTACATACTTTTGTATTGCTTCCTGTTCTCATTTCTTTCCTTTAATGTTCATCATAATTTAATGAGTAGAATTAATTTTATTTATGGTTCTCACAATTGTAACTGAACATAATTAATTTATCTGAAAACTTAACCCAATAACGTTTATGAATGATGATACATAGAAAATACCTTTGTCACTGTCTTTTTTTCCAATACTTTTTCAAAAATGTTTTTTTATTTTGACTAATTGTTATATTGCTCCAAGTAATACAAAATCATTTGACCATTTTTTAAAAAGAAAGCCTATACATTTAATAGATCTTAAAATACAGTCGTGTCATTTTCACAGTTAATAATTTCAGGGGAGAATGTTTCTAATTGGGATCAGTGACTATTATAAAAACCTTTTTAAGGGAAGAATAAAATCCCTTTGTGCTAGCAATTATTCAGAACAGAACTCAAGAGAGGACTACGGAGAATACAGTCATCTTTGTTCCTTTGGTGTCAATACATTTTGGAAAATAAATATTACCTTCATTCTCAAGAGCCCTCTACAGTCTTCAGTGTTATTGAGTATTTAGACCCCTTGTTAAAAAGTGACTGAAATAGGGAAAGAAATGGTAATCTCAATCCCATTTAGCAAGGAAATCAGCATGTTAATGCCTCAAGTGAATCATTTGAAATGTAGAACTCTAAAGGCCACAAGGAAAGACACAGGATCAGAGGACTGATTCCAGTTTGGCCAACAACTGCCTAAAGCAAGAAGATTTTTAATAAATAGCAACTCTTGGCCCAAGCATCATTGAATCACAACAATATTTGTTGTGGAATAAAATGATCTAAGTGTATCCTGGGGTAAGGTCAGGGAGCCCAGGAGAAATTATATTTACAATTATCCTGAGGTCTAAGTTTTCCCAGTGCTACTTCACAAAGGTGGTGAAATTTCATAAGGTATATTAATCAGGACAGGGTTTCCTTGGAAATTTCTGACCATGAGAGCAGCTTTAAATATAGAAAGTATGTTGTAGCCACAGTAGAAGGATGTACTTTGCTTCATTTCTAATTCATATTTTCCAAAATGTTATGGCTTCATGTCTGTTTTCTTTGGATTTAGACTTTAAAAGTCAAGCCATTTCGTATTTTGCAATTTGAAGTTCTAAATGTTCCAATTGAAAAAACTACATGGAAGCCAGAAGCTCAACATTATAGCAATAAATCTGATAATACCTTCTGTGTCAATCAGCATTTTCTGTTTCATCTGTTAGTAAATTCCCTTTCAGGTAGG